AAAATGCTAATGACTGAGCTACCAAGATTGTAACCAGTGAACCCAGTGAGATTTCTAATCATCCTGGGACTCAGACTGGCACAGATCCCACTGAATTAAATAAGAAAATGTATCTCTTATTAGTGGCTGACTACTCAAGTTTTTGTAACCTGGAGTTTTATATGTGAACTCAGTGAGTGCAACTTGACAGTTTTGCATAAACAGTGAGAGACTGTACATCCTTATTTTAACACTACATATCACCTGCTGATCTTTCTGAACTAATCTGTGTGTTTCTTCTTGCTTTTTCCTCTCTGCTTTTGTGATTGGAGACATTTTGCTGTTGACTGATTTGTGAGCATGGGCACCTGAAATTCTTTTTAAACATTTGAGACCAAATTTTCAGAGGCCTGCAAAATGGGTGTAGCCTGCTTTCCCCCATCTGGTTCTGTGGAAACATGAGTTGAACTCAAACTTGCAGCATTCATAATTAGTCTGCCAAATACTTTGTTTTATTGTCTCCCACATAGTCTCACTGTATATAGACAGACATGTTCCCACGCTGAACAGTGCAGATACTGAACCTGGGCATCTATCTGATTGCTCTGTACTACTGCTGATGAAGTCCTGATGAGCCAAAACAATAGTTTCATATTTCATTGTTTGACCCACCTTTGTTTTCAGACTATGTAGTCTAATTAAGAAAAGGATTAAAGTATTACCAGCAGGCCTGACCCTTATTTAGGCTATTGAACAGCCATCAGTGGTAATGACTTTCACTCACTACCAACCTGAGCCGTACTCAAACCAGTGCCCTAGAGTTGAACGGCTCCAGATTCTATTATGAAAAGCCCCTCAGCCATCCAGTCCTTCACTTGCTATCCCTGAAAAAGTGAATTTAGACCATATTTCACCACCACAGTTTCTTATTCTGGGGCTTGTTCTTGATTGTGAAAATTTGCCTGGGGTGGCAACTGTTGATACTTGCTGTACAACCTCTCAGACCAGGGGTGATGAATATAACACCACACAGTGTGGTTGAGAGAGGAGATGGAATACTAGACCCTGACCTTGGACAAATCACACCTTCTCTGACTTGCTTTCCCCATCTGTAAAATAGAGATGATAATACCTGTCCACCAGATATGTTGTGAGCATTGATTAATGTTTGTAACAAGCTACATTAATGCTAAATAATATAGAGAGACAAGGTGGGTGAGGTAGTATATTTTATGGGACCAACTTCTGTTGGTGAAAGAGAGAGAATTCAAGCTCCTTGGAGCTTGTCTCTTTCAGCAACTAAAGTTGGTCTAATAAAAGATAAAGATATCTCACCCACCTTGTCTCTCATATCATGGGACTAACATGCCCACAACAACCCTGCAAAGAAAGGATATGGACTCAGTTCTACTCCAAGTTACCTTCTGCAGTAATTTGTTACTGTGCTAATTATTTTACTTCTGTGGATGGTTACGCCTGGGAACCTGTGAGCAGAAAGATTGGTTAATATTTTATTTTCACAACAGTGGGGAGGCGGGGGGGGAAGCAGTCTAGATATTTTTTAATTTACAGAAGTCCAGAGGAAAAGTTTTTTAGCTCAGATGTAGCTCAGATGTTGTAGATCTTTCACTCAGCAGTTGGTGTGTTTTACTCTGTATTTGGTACTAAGGATTTATCAGACACTCAAATGAATAGCGTTGTTAATAGGACTCCCTCCTGGAAGCTCCGCAGTGATTGGCATGGGGCTTCCCTGTGGACAAGGTGGGGTCAATACAGTCTGGTCCTTAACTCGCAAATTCTTTTGTGGGCGCAAGCCAGCTACATATGTGTCTGTTAACACATCTGTGTAGAGGGCAGTAAGGTCTGTACAGGCAACAAGCTGGAGCTGCAAAGTTTGGATCCACCTGGGATGTGCCTGTGTGTAAACGGGGGGCTTGAGTCCCCCTTTGGACCGGTGTTGGCGGAGGCTGGACCTGAATGTGGACCTGAAATAATGAAACTAGATCCAGGGCGGGACCTGCCTTGGGGTCGCCTGCCAGCTGCTGCCTGCTGGGAGCTTTCCTTTGCACGGACGAGCCATGCCGTTTGCTGCCTCCCCTCCCCGGGCTTTCCCTCTTCGGTGGCCCCCTCTGAGGGCGGAGAGCGGTCACTGCGGGCGGAGAGCGGCTCCCGCAAAGGCTGCGGGCTCCCGCGGTGCGCCCCGCAGCCCCGCTCCCGGTACGTTTCGAGACAGCCGTGTCTGGGGGAAGATGTAATTTCTCTGTCAGACTCTGTAACTTCCTCACGCTTCCAGTGCCAGCAGCGGCAGTAAAAGGCTGTCAGCAGCGCTCACTGGGGGGGAAGCAAACAAGAGGAAGGCGCTAATGGGATTAGAAAGCTATCATTTCGTACTGTCACCCCGCCGGGGCGGCGGGTGGCGAGCGGAGCCGAGCCCCTGAGGCCTGGCCCGGGAGCAGCCCTGGGTGTGGCCGGGGAAGAGGGGAGCGGCCTCGAGGGCTCCCTTCGTTAATTTCGCCCTCTTCTGAGAGTGGCTCACTGTTAAAAGTCCTTTTCTAGCCCATCCTCCAAAGGCTGCTGCTCTCTGCCACCGGGCTCCTCTCCCCCCTGGGCTGGGACCTTTCAGAAGAGGTGGTGGGTGAAGAAAAGCCACCCTTGGTGGGGGAGCGTGCAGGCAGGGGGGAATGGTGGGGGGTCACCTGGAACATGGGGCGAGCCCGTCCATGGCTGTCTGGGAGCGGCTGGACGGGAGCTGATTAAAGGAGGACAAATTAATAATCGACAGCGCACTCTCCCGTCTGCGTTTCTTAACAGTATTCGGTGCCCTGGAAAGGCAGCAATCAGCTCTCGGGAGTGAAGGGATTCGAGACATATACAGTTGCCTTCCCCAGCGTGAAGTATAGCATCAGATAGGAGAGCTGGGAGCGAGATAAGAACTTTGTCTCCTCTTTAATGGGAGATTTATAAGCTTTAGTTTACCTGGCAAACTATCTTTAATAGTCCATGCCTTTGCTTTGCTTTTCATTTTCCTGGATCCATGACAGAACATCCCTTATTTTAAAAAATATAAAACAGGGTCAGATTTTCTTTAAGCAGGGAATATTAATTTTGCAGTTCAATAAAAAGATAATTTACAGAAATCCAATGGCTGTTTCGGTATTTTTAAAAGGTGCGCTCATAATTCAACAGTTCATTTATGAAATGTACACAAATGCTTCCCAACCGCCGCTGTGTCTACCGCGAAATCGTAGACCCTGCAGCCCCAGCACTTCGGTTTCTATTTTATATCGCAGAGTTGAGGGGTCATTACTGAGCTCAAACAAGCTAATTCAGAAAATAAAAACCAGGCAAAAATAGCGAATAAGGTAAAGTTCCCTCTCACCGCAAAGAAGAAGAAAGCTTCTTTGTGTATAAGTAACTAAACTAGCCACGTTTAATGGGGGTCTCAAGGCAAAGGGAACAAAAACCACTGATCACGAAAGGCATTGCACCAGAAGGTGAGTTATTAGAAAGCTACAGCAGGGAAGTGATTCCGTTTAGTTATTTGTTCCTCCTCCAAAGTGAACTGAAACTTGCCGCCTCACAGATATCAGCGTTAAAAAACGAGGCACACACAGACCCAGGAGGACACCGTTTACTTAACGTTTATTGAGTAATTTAAAGTGGTTAGCAAACAAAGTGCTTTCTCTGTAATTTTGGATCCCCATTCTTCCCAGACCTTATACATTAATTATAAAGTTAAAACTTTCGTAACGACCAGAAATATACATAGATGCTTAATGTAAAAAAAAAAAAAAAAAAAAAAAATTTGCAACCACTAAACGTCTCTCTCCACGTGGGACTGACCAGACACGACTCCTTCTGCGGTCCGTGGACTTGATTTGATTTGTCCCTGTTAGTCGTTTTTTTTTTCCTTTAAAAAAAAGATCGAAGTATGTAAAAATCTTGAGATCACGAAAGAAAATAACTCGTTGTCTTACCAACCCTGGGGCGGAGTGACAAGCCTAGAGTTTTCCATTTTACCCTGAGAGTCCAATGGGTACATCATCTTTTCAAGTGGCCAGACAAAAAACAAGGAACCGTGAAAAAATACAGCGAACGATGATTTACAGCTACTTCTATTTACAAAGAGGAAGGCGGGAGGATTTCTTCTCTTTCCTCTTCCTCCCTTCCCGAAGCCAAGTCCGGACACGGCGTGTATAAAAAAGGGTCGTCGAAAGGATTGTAGGGGCAGATGAAAAGTTGTTGTTGTGTCTCCGTGGGGAGGAAGCGCTGGGGACTGGGAACAGCCGGATCTTGCTCGCCGTTGGGGCGTTCAGATGGGCGCCAGCCGTTGCCAACCCGGCGGCAGCCCTTGGAGACTGCAACTCGGGGCTTTCCCCGTCCAGCGGCGGGGAGCGGGGCCGCGTTCCCACGGTGTTCGCCTGGTGCCAGGCTCCTTTGCCCAAACTTCCAGCGGGTTCTGAGGCTGAAGCCACGCGCGCTCCCAAGAGTGTCGCTCGTTTTAAATGACAACCGGGGTGAAAGGAGCCACTCAGCTCTGGGGGGGGGGGGGGGGGGGGGAGCTTTTAAAAACAAAGGGCCGAACAAGAGGTTTGTCCGTCTGGGAAATGCGATTTCACCAACTCTCTCCTCCCCCGCAGTCCCCGTTTCGCTCTAAAGCCCCTTCCCCCCAAACTCAATGGCTAGAGAAAGAGCGGCGAGGTCGTCAGGGTTTGATCTCAGGTGGGTGACTGTTTTCGGGGCTGGGAGGGGGGGGATGGATTTACTATTAATTATTATGATTAATTAATAATAATGTAGTGTTGCTTTGCGAAGTCCTCAGTTCACTGCGCTCCGCGGGGCTGCCCCTTGGCTTCTGCAGGAGCCAGGCGCGCAGAGAGAATTCAGAGGCGTCTCTTCCCCGTTAAGGTGATTGCGAGTTCGGGGCGCGCCTGGGGAACTCGGAGCGGGCGCGGCGCGGAGTATCCTTCGCAGGGTCTGCGGCTCCAGCGGCTCGCAGTCCCGGGGCGGGGGGAGGTAGGTTTATAGGTGCGGGGTGTAGAAGGCCGGAGCCCCGTAAGTCTGCGAGCCCAGGACAAAGGGCGAGAGGACGGCGGGGCTGGGCAGGAAGGGCAGCTGGGCAGCGCACACCAGCCCCCCGGTGGGGTGCCCCGGGTAGCCCCCGGGGCCGTGCATGGAGAGCGGGTTGCCCATGGGCGGCGAGTGGCTGAGCGGGCTCAGCCCCCCGCCCAGGCCGCCTCCCCCCAAGCCTCCTCCGGCCCCGCCGCCGCCTGCCCCGCCGCCCGTCGGGGCGCTGGTGTCGGCGCCCGGGTTCTGCTTCTTCCACTTGGTGCGGCGGTTCTGGAACCAGATCTTGACCTGGGTCTCGGTCAGGCTGAGCGACAGCGCCAGGTTGAGGCGCTCGCAGACCGACAGGTACCGCGTGGACTTGAACTTGTTCTCTAGCGCCACCAGCTGCTCGTAGGTGAAAGCGGTCCGCGCCCGCCGGGGCTTGCCCGACTTGGAGTCCGAGCCCGTGCGCTTCCTCTTGGGCTTGGCCTGCGGGCCCCCGCCGGGGGCAGGAGGCTGGGCCGGCGGCTGCGGCTGCTGCTGCTGCTGGCTGCCTGGCTCCCGGTCCTCCGGCTGGTGGCCGGGCTCTGCCTCGCCGGACTCCCCCACGCCGCCCAGGCTGCTGCTGCTGCTGCTGCTCTCCTCGCTGCACAGCTCCTCCTCGTCCTGCAGCTCGCTCTCCGGGCTGGGGCTGGGCCTGCTGCCGTAGTCCAGGTCGCACTCCTCGGCCTTGTACAGCTCCCCATCCTCTGCGCACAAGCAAGGAGAGGGGTTAGCTTAGCAGCTCCCAACCCACCCTGCCCCAGCACCCATACCCCCACCTACCCAGCCAGCCTGGAGAGGGCCCTGTGGGGCCCCCAGCTCTACAGCCAAGCTGAAAGGGGTAGGAAAAGATGGCCCCCCCTCCCCTAAATCTAGGCTCTTTAGACAGAGACCTACTGGGAAGGGGGGGGGGGGGGCAGAATCCAGGCTTCAGTGGGCACAGAATGCAAATCTGCCCTCCCAGCCTCCCGTCCAAGCTCCTTAGGCCAAGCCATCCTCTAAAGGAGAAGCAGAATTGCTAGAGGGCACTGGGAAGTTGGCAGTAAATTGCCCTGTTTACTTTCCTCAAGGTTGCTGCTGGGCCTCAAACTGGGAGGACTTGGAATGGAGGTGATGTGAGGTTTCCTACATTTTTGGGGGGGTAGGGGAGCATCTGTGAAAAGACCCACTGATACACAGCAAAACCATTCATCATCCTAAGAGAGGCACTTTATAAACCCTGCCCTCACATTCTTCCAGCATGAGGGATTCTCCCATATCCCCTCCCCAAGGGAAGGAAAGGTGGCAGGCCTGGAGCAGATTTGCCCTTTGCAAAAAGGAAGTTTAAGGAGTGCCCTCTTGACCTGGAAGAATTGCGTTGTAAAGCTCTCTGGGAGAGGATTTTCCTTTGAATTGTGGGTGGTTTCTATCCCTTGTAGACGCCATACATAGGTACTGAGTATTTAGATGATTTAAGCAAAGGGTAAATGGGCATGGGAGAGAAGAAGATATACTAGGCTTGCAACAGTTGCTTTATAGGTCACGGTTTATATTTTTCTTTTTCACTGTAATCCGGATGGCACAAATATTGCAAAAATTCAGAAAAATAAATATCAGTAAGTGTAACTTTCGGAAACGTTAGGGGTCTGTCTATATTGTCACCACTCTCACGGAGGAATCTTCCATCCAAAAGGTTCTCCAAATAGGAAGTCCCGAAGTGCTTTTTAGTAAGAAACCACCTTTGTCTAAAGCTGGGACACCATGTATAATAGTCTCCAACCCTAAAACCCTAACTAACCAAGCTAAAAGCTTTACAAATATAAAACATTATTTAGTGGACAACAATGAGAAGTCCTACTTTGTAATCATTCTTCGTTCATCTTCCGAATTAAAAATGATTGTGAAATGCTAGGAAATAAAATTAATCTCATTATTATTGTTTGTAGAAGCAATCGCAGTTAGTATCTTCCATGGCACTTCTTTCCAGAAGCCTCAGGAATGCTGATATTAAAATCATTTGACATTTTAGAAAATTGGACATCTCTTTCTGCAATGTCTTCAGAATAGAGATTTGAAAAATTAGGGCTAGAGAAATGAGCAATAACGAATATGGAACATTTTGGAAGAAAGTCTGTGAACGACACGGGGGTTTGCTGCAGGAAGAAGAGAACACCATTGATAGGACTTTTTATTCTAGTTATTGAATTATCTGCATTGATGGAAGATTTGCTGCCTTCTGTGTTGGCCTGTTTCTAACCGTTTCTGTGCCTTGTTTGTTCTCGTGCTGTTCCTAAGGTAGAAGTATTAAACGGGAGTAAATACTTGTATTGATTAGCAGAGCAGATACAAACTTAATTAAACTCATTTTGTGTAATGTACAAACTAGTTAACGGTCATTTAATTTATTTGGGTTTATATTATGCTCCAATTAACGGGACTGCAGATGAGAACAAGGTAATTATCCGATATTTAGGGCCGTTGTACTTCTACTTGTACTGGGGAAGATCAAGTCGTTATGAAACCTGAAATAATATTCGTAAAGAAGCCGCTTCACTCTGTGGATCATGCCTTAGACATTTCTGACAGCTTGAAGGCCGGATGCTATATTCCTTTGACCATCCCAAATTCCCAGTAAAGTAAAAAAGGAATTCATCAAATGCAGGATCGGGCCTCAGGCTGGAGTAAAATAAATAAAATACCTTGTCCTTATCACATTTAGATACTCCTAAACTTCCTGAATCGGTCTGCGTTTTACACCTAGATAACCCAGTATAGCTATTATCTGTAAATCCCCCTCCTTCCCACAAATTAAGCAGCGAGTTGATCATTATGACCCATTATGTGTTTGCTTTAGTCATTTAAATTCCATAAATACTAAGGCTGTACCGTCTATCTCAAACTTTGCCAAATCTTAAAACCAAATGCTGTATATTCAATTAGGTGATTATTTTTAATTGAGAAATTTTAAAAAGTGAAAAGATTAAGTTCTGTGAAATAAGCTGATTTCGGCTGAACCTTGGATATTGCTTGCTCCCCACGGGGAAAAGAGAGAGAGAGAGAAAGAAGTTTATTATAGTCACCTTAACCCGCAAAACCAATGTTTAGTAATCTGGGGACTTTTTAACGAATAATACTTTCCCTCTTGGTGTTAAAAATTAGAAAATGGAAATCTGGAATTATGACAGATATATAGAAATATAACAACATGAGTAAGGGGGTTCTAAATTTAAAATAGTATATGAAGATGAAATAAAGTTCAAATCTACATCGAGTAGAAATTAAATTATAGATGGATGCCATTGTATATGATAATTTTGATACACACACCTTTCCATATATTCTTGTTGAAAACATATAGGAATGTTTATATGTGTAGGGGTAAATATAACAACATACAGTAGGTACGTTCAATACAGATGACACAGAATGTATGTGATGATTACTGTAGAGGGTTCCCCCCCCCAATAATTTGTAAACATTCCCCAATAAGGGAATATTATAAAATATTCCCGTCAATAGGGGAATATTAAAATATTTTTCTAAACAACAACTGCACTGGTAATTGTCCAAGGCAACATCACTCTGGCTTTGCAACTGTTAATGCAAAACAAATTAACCGGAGGTTTCTCAATTATTTCTAAAACTAAATGTGTTTTGCAAGATGAACTTAAATATTTTCTATTTTCAATGTACTTGTACTTTTTCTGGTTGTAGAGAATCATAATGATTTTCGGATCGTTTTCCCCACCCCCCACCGAACTAAACCAACTGCTTGATCTACTGTTACCCAAGGTGATGGTGATGATGGGACCATAATGCGATTAACTTTCATTATTTCTCAGTACTCACAAATCTATTGTTGGGTGTTTCTAGCTTTACAAAATATTAGCATAGTTAAGACTGAAGAGATAAATCGTGCAAAATCCCTGGCAGCTTGTCAGTAAGCAAAGTTTAGTGTTGCATGTGTTTCTAAATATATTTACTGTTAGAGAAATGAATGATAGAATTGCATTTCTCTCCTTGCCTGGAGATAAAGTATAAGATTGGTGATAGGCTGACCTCGTCGGTCTTTCTGATTGAACAGACCTATTTAGTATGACAAAAGTCAGATCTGTTTAGACAAATACTTACTTTAGGTGTACTCGGAGTTTTAAAAATCTCTTTGATTTCTTTACGTCTAGCTCCTGCTATTGCTTTGATGATTAAAAACAGCTCTACTGTAAAGGGGCTTGTGTTGAAAAAGGTAGAACAAAAACCTACGTTATGGCCTAATTTTAATTGATATGGACATTCTAGCACAGAATTGTAAAGACACCGCTCTCTCTCTCTGGTAATCCTAGTCCAGAAATTTATTTTCCAGTCTTTACGGTATCAAACACAACCCACTGCTGTCCCACCCGTCAAAATACAGACTATCTAGAGATATTTTTCATGTGTGCCATCTTTTCCCGGAAGTGCTCTAACATCTCCAGAGTCACAGCGTTTAGAGGTGAGAAAGTTGGAATATTTGGACCTGGAAAGAAAAAGCAATCTAGAGCTTGGGTCGAATGCAATTCCCGATCAATAGCGAGCCCTAATAAGTGTAATAGGTTTTAATCGAGTAATTATCCGAATTTTGACCCTATAATTTAGATGTTAGGAGAGAGTTTGCAAGGTGCTTGAAAGAGATATGCACAATTCGATAATAGGATATCGACCCAGGGAGTCCTACACGCCACTCTGGGGCGATTTCCCCCATTATCCAGCCTCTTTACGTTGCTAAGCACATTTTACCTTAAATGTAATCGAAGGAATTTAATTGTTTTTCCAGAGATAACCAGCATTTTGTCACAATTAGTCTGATTTGTCCTAAAAAAGCCAAGAGGAGAGAGAAAATTGAATCTGTCGCCCAGAGCAACGCTCAGCAGGCCGGGGGTGGGGTGGAGAGGGGAGATGGTTCTGAAAGCTGGGGGGGGGCGGGTGGGGGTAGGAAATACAGAAAAGTCGTAAAAGCGACTTTGATACTTGGAAAATCCAGCCAAAGTGGGACTTATTTGATGATCTGAGAATTAATTTAAAATCCTGTTGGGCCTGCGCATTCAAATGACCTGCAGCCCCCTCAATTCTTCCTGCAAAGTTTGCTTCAGCAGCAACTTACACATGCCTGTTACCCTCGAGGACAGAAGTGAGACACCAGGACGGAAGCTGTTATTAGGTGATATAATGTAGAGTCCGGTTCCATTCGCCCCCAGTAATCAAATGAACTCAGTGAGGCGTGATGGACTAGGTACATTTAATACAACATTACCCCTTGAAATGTAACGCTTTCTAGCCAGATCGCAAACACCAGAGCCCAGGAGGAAGACGTTTGACTTTTGCAAACTGTTCCTGCCCCAGATTTGCGTTTGTATTTCCTTGTTTGCAGAACGGCAGCTACAGTTATTTATCGTGTGTCTGATTGAATCGTCAAGACACCTGTTCGGGAAAATGAAAGGAAGGCCCAGAGGGGGCATTACTGAGAGTACATGCACATCACAGAGGCTCCAACTTGGAAGTAGTGCCCAGCATAAAACTTTACGCAACTGAAAGGAGGGCCGGGCCAGAAAAGTTTCACCTTGCATAGGGCATATAAACCAGCAGACATCACATACCTTAAACCAGGCAGACCTCGCCACACCACTGAAACCATCCACTTTAATAAGTGGGAAGAGGTGCTTATAAAAATGTTACACGTTAGTCCCTCCGCATGCACCTACCTCACTCTACATTCTTAGCCAGGTGTAGAAGCAACAGGTAAGGAACATTTGCCCTTTACAGCAGACTCCCTGTGTCTACACGTGCAGTTGCGCCCTTTTTTGTATCTGACAGAAAGCAGGGGTGACGGCGCGTGTCTCCTAGACTCACCTTTAGAAGCATGTAATCACACTGCATAATAATTTCAGGCGCTTTTGATCATCCCCTCCCCCTCAGCCGGCTATTTGCTCCAGACACGAGTTAGACACTCTGCGAAAGGTTAACATGCACAACGTACTTACTGAGTAAGTCCGAGGACTTTTTTGCACGTTTCAAAATCTTCAGCCAGAGCCTTTGGATCTGCTAGTTCCGTTCCTGACTCCTCGGGTTTATCCTCTGCCCCTAGAGTGCATTCGCTCCCTGCGGATTTGTACAACACAGAACAGCGCCTCTTCTTGCTGTTGAATTTGTTGGGATCCAGGATGTCCAGCACCGAAAAAGAGGTGGTTCTGTGGACCACTGGCAGGGCTGCTCCTGCCCCCTCTTGTCCAGGGGTGTTGCTCTGATTGTCGCCTGGCCTGTCTCTATTTCCAGGACACGAATAGACCGGGAGCTCGTTGCTGGAAGAAAGTCTCTGGTCCCCGTGGCTTTCCATGCTTTCCCCGTGAAGGCAGCCGGACACTGGCTCCACTACAATGCCAGCCTGGCTTGCCGCTGCTGCTGGGATAGAGATGTCACCCCCCGGAGTCTTGTCTCTGCTCGCATTCATGACTCTTTCCACCGCCCCTTCCACTTGCAACTCTTCCCCTTCCCACGAACTTCAGCTGGAAACTCCGGTCTTGCAATCAGCTCGGGAGCTGCTTTGTTTATCGTCAGGTTAGCACAGAGGCGAGCTGGTTCCTCTAGGTCTGCAGGGTTTCACGGGGCTAGGTCCACCCTGAACTGGAGTCTCCCGTGGATAAAGGAAGTCAGAGAGCGATGCTCCACTCAGTTGCTCCTTCTTTCTTCTCATCATCCTCACGCAGCTACCTAAACAGTTGTGTCCCCCACACCCCCCTCTCTCTCACCCACACACACAGACAAGGCTGTATCTTATTTATGCATTCATATTTAGCAGTGGGTTGTAATTGGCTACAAATTAATCCCTTGCCCATAATAGTCAGTAATCTCCATCCCTGGAGGAGAGAGACACTGAAAGTGTGTGTGCCTGAGAAAGGGGAGGGGGGCGGGAGAGGGGAGAGAGTGAAGGATGGTGTTGGCTGTGATATACTTAGCTGTCAGCTCCGTTTCAGCACACCTCCACTCAGCTGGAAAGCATCTAAATAGCCTTATTTGGAGAAGTGGGAGGAGACCGCTTTCTTTGAAATAATTGCGGGGATCAATATAAAGAAGATATTATACACACCGAATGGGATCGCCCCTCCTAATGGTTTAGTTATAGGATCAGAAGGATAGTATTTGTGCTCAGAAGTGTGAACAAGCTCACCTGTTTCACCCCCCCCCCCGTGCATTATTAAATTAGAACAATAGAATAAAATTGTTGTCCGAGGCTGAATGCTTTGGATTATACGGTGTGTATAGGCACGTTGTCCCTTCCCCCCACCCCATTAATTGAAATTACATATCAGATGAAAGTGCCTGGAAATACCGAAAGCAAAACAATACGCTTAAGCAACACAAGGCAAAACACGACGATCAATACTAAATAACTGGGGGGGGGGGGATCTATTCTTGTTCCACCTAGAAATAATGCAATAAACACAGCTCATTCTCATTTCTGAGAAACACTCCTTCATTCAAGGGGTTTTGAATGCAGGAAAAAAAGGAAGAAATTAGGAAAGAGTTGCCTCTGAATTACAAAAATCTAATTTCCTTTCCTACCCAGGTTTCTCTCTCTGTGTGCGCGCGCTTTGACCATGTCCATTTCATTCTTGCTTTGGGTGTCCAAATCGCTGCTTAGTTTGAACCAGCTGCCAAAAAAAAAGGTAGGAAAATAGAGAAAACATAAAAAGAAAATTAGATTTTTTTTTTTGTCTTTCAGGCTGGTGACACATACAAGGACAGGTCCTTTGCAATTATCGCGGGCAATGATCCTTTGGAAAGCAGAAATTAAAAGTTGGGAGAAATAATGGGTAAAACAATCAGCTGTAATTTTGGTAGGGGTTGGACATGATTAGCCCATCAATGGGCTGGGCCCAGGGGAGTTCCTGGAGCCCACAACAGCTCCCTCTCATATATTATAGACCAGCCCTTAGATTTTAATCAGACCCCACAACAGCGTCCTTCCTCTTTTATTACTTTGTTATGCTTTATCTGTAAATTATAAATCACCTTCTGGGTGGAAATGGTATGTATAATCTCGGATCAGGTGTAGATAATTACCTCCTCCCTCACTTCCCTGACCTCACTGCTACACAAACACAGCTAGAGCTAAGTTTTAATACCCATTGGGTTGGTTTTTTAAAAGCTGCTCTTTCTTCCCTTCTCCTGGGGTTGTGTCTTTGGAGCAATTTCTCTTTCAATATTTCTGCTGGCAGCCAGGGGATATTGTTTATGGAAAGGCGACGGTGTTTTAGGTAGACTTTGATCAGATTTCCTATTGTCATCCTCTCCATTGGTACCTTTTCTGGAGGGAATCCGTTTTCTGGGGAGGGGATTCTTATCTCTCGAGTACATTGGCGTCCTGGTAAGTTTCTGCCTGGGCACCCCCCAATATCTGGTCTAAATTGCAATTATAACTCTGCGCTCGAAGGTCCAAGCGGGGCCTATACAACTGGGGGGGGGGGGGCATCGACCAGCACTGATATAAAGGACAAGAGCAGGTAAATGATTATTAATTCAATAACGTACACAGGCTCAACTTCGTGAACACTTCGAGGAAGGAAGGAAAGTGAATCTGAGCCCCCGCTGTCGCCTGGAATAAATCTCTCTCTCTAGCGCACTGCTGAGACTCTCTTTCCATACACTATGCCGTGTGTTTATTCTTTGATGTACCCAATCAAAGCTGGGAAACAAAAGGCGGCGATTCGCTCGGTACCAGTGTACCGCGGGGAAAAGTTTCAGGGAGCAGGCAGCGCGCGGGTAGAGGACACAGCTGGGCCCGTCAACGGGGTGGAATTCTGCTCCGAATTCCCCCTTTCGCCCCAGAGGAATAAACCGAAGCGGACAGACGCCTTTGTGCGCGCGCGCGCGCCCCTGGCTCCTAAAGCGAGTGTTATAAAGATGAGCTTTTGCTCCTAATCACAATTGATTGTCAATTAGAGCCTCATTTGCGCAATCTCCATCCATCTGCCATCTCTGGTTATCTGTTCTCCGCAAAGTTAGCTCTGATTGTGGGGCACGAGATGAGTTGTGACATGTAATATCGCGCTCATGAGCGGGGCGGGTGACCACTTCCCTTTTGCTCGGAGCCAGTCTTTTCCCTGCCCCTCACAAAAGGAAGCCAGCACACCACAGCCCCGGGAGGGGGGCGCATGGTTTGGAAGGGAAGGTGGGGCAGGGTGACTCGCAGGAGGGGTAGATTAACACCAGTTAAATGCCATGTCATCAGACCTCTGCCCCTCCACCACCCAGGACAGTGGCTGGGATGGAAATGGTTCTTTCTCTAACCCAACAAAGCAACCCTAGCGGTTTTACGACTCTCCCGATAGCGATCTCTGTAGTTAGGCTGAATTATATCTGCAGGGAGGGGATATTTCTACCGCCGGGAGGTGCTTGTGGTTAGTTAGCACAGAACCGGGCAGCATTTGCTTCCCACGGCAGCTTGGGTGAGATGCAGTGTGCAGAGACCCCCCCCCCCAACACACACACTCCCTCCTCCTTTGGCAGGATGATCGCTCCAGCTGCAGCCTGTCTGGGAGACGCTGCCGGTGTAACACCGACAGCTGGGGCGGGTTTGCACTGCGGGCGGGTGCCCGGGGAACAGGGAGGTAAGCGTGGAGCCCTTTCAAAGCGTGTTTACACCCCAGCTCTTGGGGAGGCGGGGAGACAGAGCAGAACAGCTCGGTGCCAGGGGCCGGGGATCCTTTAGGGGATCCCAGGCCCTGGCTGCTGGGCTTAGGGGCGGGAGGAAGAGGGCCTGCGAATGAAACAGCCCCGCCAAGACAATCCCTGGTTGCAGCTGCGCGCTCCGCCCTTCTGGTGCCAGCAGCTGGCTAGGGGAACCCATTACTCTCCGGGGCTTCTCCTCCACCCTCGTGCAAGCCACAGGGGCCAGGCCAGCTGGCGGCAGAGTGAGGCTGGCTAAAGGGAGAGCGAGAGGCTAATACTTCGGGGGGGAGGGCTGCCACTCTCAAAAGAGCCACAGTCTCCCAGTCACCGACAGAGGTGAGCTGGGTCTGTCCTGCCCCGTCCTCAGCAGCACCACGAAGGGAGAGAGACGCCCCGAGGCTCCTCTTATCTCAGATCCGCAGAGGCAGCGAGCTCCCAGGGACATTTTCAAATAGCTTTTGGATCCAGAGGACGCTCCGTCCCCTTCCTCCCGCCAGCCGCAATGACCTCTGCCGGCGAGAGCGGCCCCTCGGCAAGGCCCTCTGTCCAGCCCCTTGCGAGCCCGGCTGAGATAAAACTGCTCCTTCCTCCTGACCCCTAAGTTGTCTAGGCTCAGACAATGCAGCCTGGCTCCTCGTTGCATTTTCAACGGGAAGATGATCCTTAGACACTGAACAGCAAAGCGAGCGGCCTAAAATCAGAGCCCCCTTGCTGGCCTGTCCGGCCATGGGGCTGGCTGCACGGACATGCGGCTCGTTATCTGTCAGCCCAGAACATTTGCATTTAGTAAATATAAACCTTTACATCCGGTGCCCCCTTCTGCCTGGATGTGCTCTGCAGCTCTATAGAAGGGACTGGAGCCCCCTGCTCCATTCGACGCGGCCGGAGTGGGGGCCACGAACACCCCCCTGAGCAGCGGCTGCAGCAGCCCGCGCCGGAGTCTTTAAGCAACAAATTCCATCTTTTTAAAAAAATTAGATTTCTACAACTCCGGTCAAAACCCGAAGCTTTTCTTTTTTGGCCATTCATCATTCCCTTCCAGCAGCGCGGATCTCAGGGTAATTAAGGGCATTTATCGTGGTGGTAAAACAGTTTAGCAGCCCTTGTTATATTGGGAAGGTCACTTTGATGGATTTCCATGGGGGAAAGGATTGGGAGAGGAGGAACTGGGGGAGGGGGAGTTATCTGATTCGGGGTGGAAGCGGTGCAAGAGAAATCCGCCTCACTTCCCCCGCACTCTTGATCGGTTTGCATTGATCAGAAATGTGCCCTGGGAGCAATGGAAGGTCACTGAGGATAAAGTCTTTCCAGTACCTCTTCTGCGTGGATGGAAACACATGGTCCCTGCAACGCGGAGCATCACGCTGGAGTCAAGTCCCGTCTGTACAATACAGATACACCGAGTGGGAAGGAAGCCTGGATGGTCCTTCCACGCCCCCCCACCCCTCCACAAAAGTAACACATGCAGAAGAAAGACTTTTCACATCCCACCTTTTAATTTAAACCTTAAACCCGCGCATCTTATCGACAAAAAGAACAGGAGGACCTGTGGCACCTTAGAGACTAACAAATTTATCTGAGCATAAGCTTTCCTGAGCTACAGCTCACTTCATGGGATGCATTCAGTGGAAAATACAGTGGGGAGATTTATATACATAGAGAACATGAAACAATGGGTGTTACCATACACACTGTAACGAGAGTGATCACTTAAGGTGAGCTATTACCAGCAAGGGTGGGGGGGACGGGACCTTTTGTAGTGATAATCCAGGTGGGCCATTTCCAGCAGTTGACAAGAAGGTCTGGGGGTGGGGGTGGGGGGGAGAATAAACATGGGTAAATAGTTTTACTTTGTGTAATAAGGCATCCACTCCCAGTCTTTATTCAAGCCTAAGTTAATTGTATCCAGTTTGCAAATTAATTCCAATTCAGCAGTCTCTCGTTGGAGTCTGTTTTTGAAGTTTTTTTGTTGTAATATTGTGACTTTTAGGTCTGTAATTGAGTGACCACAGAGACTGAAGTGTTCTTCGATTGGTTTATGAATGTTATAGTTCTTGACATCTGATTTGTGTCCATTTATTCTTTTACGTAGAGACTGTCCGGTTTGACCAATGTACATGGCAGAGGGGCATTGCTGGCACATGATGGCATATGTCACATTGGTAGATGTGCACGTGAAGGAGCCTCTGATAGTG